TGTCGATAAACCACACATACTCCATCAAAATGATAATTATGAGATACCCATTACTACTCTGTGTTAGTGCCTATTATTGTGCTGGTAAACCACACACGCTTCACTAACGACCAATAAAGCATAATGTGCAATTTCATGGACTAGCATACTTTTCACACTTTTCCTAAAGTAACTACAGTTGGGATTTTGTAAAATAGTGTTCTAGTACTTTCTTAATAACATTATACTTTTAATGAAATTTAGTTGTCCTATCAAATCCGTTCTGCTAACGACTCTCCACTAATCAAGGAAGCGGTGGGTGAGAATGGACACCCATTCAACTACCAGTTTATAGGCAGTTTCCTTATACCTTATAGATTTAGCTTCGTGAATGAGGCATACTAGCGATTTGACCGACCATATTCTTATACATATATAATATTTAACTTTTAATTATAATACATATATAAGGTGTGTTTTAACATTTTTTAAACTTTGGGGTTTATTTTAAATTTTTTGAAAATTAAACCTTTAATATAAATATAAAATAAACCAAATAACTAGATTTAATAATTATCTACTAATTAACTTTTAATTAATTTATTAAATCTTGTAAGTTTTATCTAATTAAATTAAACATTTAATTTAATCCTAATCCATATCCCTCTATATTTTGAAAAATAGGGTATATGATAATTTCCTTGTTTTTCTCAATTATCCAATTAGGTAACAATTATCCAAACATAAGAAACCCTAAAAATACCATGTAAATCTTGAAATTCAAGGGAGGAGGCTAGGGTTCCCAAAACCCTAACCCTAATTTTGATTAGGGTTCATGGAGGCTAGGGTTTTTCGAAAAACCCTTTGAACCAAAAACCCTAAAAACGAAAATTGGCTTTTTAGGGTTTAATAGCTATAAACCCTAATTTACAATTCAACTATTGTATCAATTCAATTTAAAACAAAAACAATGGCTTTGATACCACTGATGGGTTTTAGGTAAAAAAATAAACTAGAAAAACAATTCCTAAGTTCACATGCAACCTACTTTGGATCTATGTTTTAACTATTTAACATATAACTTTGAATTGCAAAACAAGAACCGTAAGGAGAGAGGCTATTTTCAAAATTAACCAATTAGGGTTTAAAAGTTACATACCTTTCAATTGTTATAGCAAACAATTGGTAATCCTTTTGATCTTGATCTTCTTAGATGCTTAACACCACAAACGTAATGCCTCTATGGAGTTACACCCAAAAGCTAGCAAGAAGGAAACTTGAAGGAGAGAGAGAGTAAGGTATGTAATTTTCGGCCCTAGGGTTTCTTCAAGGAAGGAGTGGTCAATTTTAGGTGCCAGGAGGCTCCTTATATAGCTGAGGGATCTAGGGTTAAGGGAAAACCCTAATGCTCCTTTGCTTGGGGCCAAAGCTTATCCAAAGGCCTTATCCAAGCCCCTTGGACGAAATCATTAGGGTTTCCCTTATAGATTTCGTCCACCCCCTTTCAAGGAGGTTCTGGAACCTTCCACTCAACTATTTGATAATTGCAAACTAGTCCCTGTACTTTATAATTAATACAGTTAACCCCAAAATGAATTCTAATTAATTTTTGCCAAACTATTAATTCAACCTTATGATTTCTAATTAATATATTAATCTTTTAACATATTAATGAATCATTTATATTAATTTATTAATCTTATAACAAATCAATATCTCTCTTTTCATAATTTCCTTATCCAGTTGCTAGGTTTGAGGGCAACCCAAAATGATTATGCTGCTATCAATTCAAGTATATACTAATTATAGTTATGAGCTTAGATACCTAATCCAACAGTGAGAAAAACCTAAAAAAACAGTCATAAGTACTGAATGTATACAAAAACAATATTGATTCATTTTACAACACAAAAAATATTAATGACTAAATGTGCAAAAATATTAAGGATTAAATATGTATAAAATAAGAAATATATTACCCTTTTAAGTCATTTTTTTCGGTTTACCTGAAGTAGTCGGTCATAAGGATTAAATGTGTACAGTTGAAGGGGTAATTATAAACAAAAAAAAAGTCAATAACTAAATATATACAAATCAAAAAATATATTACTCATTCATCCCTTTTTACACAAGGGTTGTAGTTTTTAAAAGCATTAAACAAGTAAATTACATAAATGGTCTCTATGGTTTAGTATGATTCGTAGGTTTGATCCAATCTTTGAAAATTTGAGTGCGACCATCCTTATGGTTTGAAGAAATTACAGTGATGGTCCCTTCATGATAATGTCGTTAGAAATCAAATGTTAAGTATGGGTCAAATGGCCAATATACCCCTTCTCCCCTTCTTTTTTAGTTTATATCTTTTATTTTATATTTTATAAACTCCAGGGGTTGAATATCAAACTAGAATCAAAATAAAAATGATATAATAATCCCTAAGCCAAAAATCCCTTCAACGTTCATTGTTTGGTACTCACACTCTATACTCTTTATTTGTCCCCTCTCTTTACTCCGGCACCACCATCAGACACCCCATCGACCACCAACATCGACTACACCACCACCTGCACCTCCTCTGGTAGCTCTAACCTCATCTCCCTTTTATTTGCCTCCATCAAGGTGGTCTCTATTATAACTCAAGTCTCACCCCAATCCATACGTCGTACCGCCATCTCAATACACTCCCTTCTTTTCTACTATTTCTAATTTTATAGCTTTAACCACCACTACCACCCAAAGAAACTAAAGCTCCTCCAACTAGATTAACAAGAAACAACTTGTTTAACCCCTTAAAATCCAAATCATGTTATAAGAGGTCCTAATCGAACCCAAAATCAACTCAAAAATATGGAAATTAGACGAGTGTGTTGGTCTTTGATTCATTTGATTTATTTATAAAATCAAGAAGTTGGATTTGTAGTTCGTCAATCGCCTGTTCATCTTCAATAATAGCTTGTACGTTTATTTTTTTTCTTCCTGGTTCTTTTTTGATCCTCTGAAATTGAAATTGTGAATGAGGGTGTTTGGAAGTGCTTTTTATGTGTAGAATCAGAATCGACTACAATGCTCTATGTTACTTCGTTTCACTTGAAATAGGTAAAGAAGCAAGATCAGAATGGTTGAAACAAAGATGACAACCAACAAAGATGGCACAAACTAATACAATGATGACAACCAACAGATACAATATAAATAAACAATGATGTGATTTTATTTCAATTGAACTTGATTTTTAGATTGAGTCGGTGGTGGTTAGATGATGGGTGCAAAAGAACTTCATTGGACATGAATGTAGAGCGGGATGATGGGACGATCGGGGATGGGTTAAAATTTAAGGCTTTTACTCCTTTAATTTTTCTTACATAATTGGTCCCTATACTTTTTGAAATTAAAAATAATAAAAAGCAAATAGGGGTGTGTTGGTCTTTTACTCAGACTTCAGCCAAGAGGGACCATTGGTGTAATTTTTCCAAACCATAGGGACACAATCTATCAAAATTTCAAAGTTTGGACTAAACCTGCGAATTCAACCAAACCACAAGGACCATTTCTGTAATTTACTTGCATTAGGCGTAGAGATCTTACCACTTTTTGATAAATATTTTAGAAAGGGAAAATGACTTGTAAGGGTAATGATGTTTTACCCGTGTTCAAATTATATCATTCATGTTTTTTTTTTAACAAAAATTACCATTAAAATGTGTTTCTTGTACACATATTACCATTGGCAACCGGATACAATAGGTTATCCAGTATGTTTTTATTTAAAATAAAATAAATGATTATGTGGAAAATACGTGGCTATTACACCCACATCTTCCCTACTAAAGGAACTAAGGGAATGATTTCTTCACTCTTCAAAACTGTTGCAGGATTTCTCACATCCATGGCTTCCTCCTCTACGTACAACTCCAGCACCAAATCGAAGAAACCCAAGTCAAAATCGAAACTTGATTTGCAAATCTTTGTGATTGTGGCTACCCTTCTCGTATTTGGACTTCAACAACAAAAGATAATCCTGGAAAAGAGTTTAGGGTTTGCCCTAATTCAACGGTATGTTGGGTTTAATCTATATGTAGTAAGGTCTTTTTCAATAATTTTCGTATATTATTTTTAGGATAACCCAAAAATTAAATGCAAATTCTGGGAATGAGTTAATGAAGAAGATACAGTCAACAGGAAAAAAAAAAAAAAGATGAAGTGGGAGCACAATCCTGTGAAGTGAGGGCACAATCTTGTGAAGTGAGGATTGTAATTATGGACCATGATTTCAATATTTACAAAAAGAAGACAGATGAAGAATTTGATAAGATAATTAGGAAAATTAACAGTCTCAAAACATATGTAATTGTGTTGCTTATGTTGTTTGTAGTATCACTTTTAAGGGGATAAATGTTAAATTGTAAGTGGATATTATGGTTGTTTTGCTGAATATGATTGAATGAGCATATTTTGTTGTTGCTTAATTGACAATTTGATAATGAGACAACTTTGCAGAATTTTACCCTTGTAAAAACAACTTTGCAGAATTTTACCCTTTAATGTGCAGAAGGGCATAATGGTCAAAATGAAGGAATCCTAAGTAAAAGCAACATTGAATGATGTACATTCTTAAGTTTGAATATGATTTAATCTTATGTTTGAATATGATTTACAAGAATAAATGTGAAGAATTATAGTTGGAGGTTATGTTTGATTTTATGTTGTTTGTTGAATGAGCATGTTTTGTTGTTGCTAATTTACTCATGTATATACAATATCCCTCACTTTTTTAATGTGAAGAATGGTCAAAAATAATATGAAGGGCATAATGGTAAAAAAGAAGGAATCCTATGTAAAAAGCAACATTGAACGATGTAGATTATATTTAAAGGGTAATAACAAACAAAAGCAAAGTTTTTAATGTGCATATTTACATCAAAAGACAAGCATAGTGTTTAGCAAAAGACAAAAGCATAGTAATTTCTACCCTAAACAAACAAAAGCACAGTTTTTAATGTGCAGATTTACATCAAAGGGAATCATTCCAGAGTAATAGGTTTATTCACACTTAAACCACATCCATCCGTGGTGATGACAACCCTATTTAATGCCACTTTAGTGATCCTCTCTGAGTATTTCCTTTTCCTCTTCAATGGTTGTGCTACTTGTTCAACTTCAACAACAGGTTGTGCAAATTTTTCCTTAACATCTTCAATTATAGGTTCAATAACAATTTGTTCCAATTCAAGTTCAACAACAGGTTCATGAACTTGTTCATGATCAGGTTCAACACCAGGTTCAACAATAGGTTCAACAACAGGTGCAACAACTTGTTCCTTAACTTGTCCCTGATCAGGTTCATCAACATCTTCAGCCATCTCTTCGATCTCAGATTCAGACTCAGATTCATACTCATCTTCAACTTCAGCCATCTCTTCAATCTCAAATTCAGACTCAGATTTAGACTAATCTTCAACATCAGGAACATGTTTACCCTTCTTCTTTTTGGCTTTAGTACTTGGTCCTACATTTAAATTTATAATGCATTAATAGATAATACTTAGATTTTTTTTGTAAATGAATGATAGTTGATATGAAAAAAAACCTTCTTTGGACAATGGACATCTAATTTTGTTGTGTCCTGGTTCTCCACAAATGCTGCATTTTGTAATAGCCCCTTTCTTGCTAATAGTATGTCGACCTTCTTTTTATGAAGCAACCTTCTTCCTGTTGACTTTAGACCTGCCAGGTAATCTTCTACGTTTTGGGGGCAACATAGGTTGACCTTCCCAAAATGGCCACATTTCACTTCCATTTAAAGGATTAATTGTATACTTATAGCAATTTCTAAACATTTCTATTGTGAACCAAGTTGCCACATAGTCTTCCACATTCTCATTTAGATAACTAATAGCAACCATGGCATGTACACATGGTATACTGCTTAGTTTCCATCCTCTATATGCACATGTTCTTTGGTTCAAGTACACAACATAAACCTCATGTACTGACCTCACATCAAATTGTTGCACTCTATTGGGAATTACATACCAATTAATACCTATAAAATAGTGGAATATAGTATAAAATTAGTACTTAGGAATTACATGTCAATACCTATAAAATAATGGAGTACAATAAAAGCATATATACCTTAGATGTTCCCTCTTGTCCACTATTTTCTTTCTAATAGATGGACATATGGCTAGATTCCATTTCTGCCCCTTCAATCTTTTACAATACATCATATCCATCAGAAACCTCCTAATTTCCTTTAACATTGTTATAATCGGCTTTTTCCTAGCATCCACAATTGCAACATTAAATGATTCACAAATACCATTCTTAATGGCATCATAACACCTGTCCAATACAAAAAAAGCCCTAGACCAAGATTTTGGATCTCTTTCCATCAAGTGATCATATGCTTGTATATCAATCACCCTAATCTCTTTCATTATACCTTTAAACCTTTGCACAGTTGTGGCCTTTGCAGCCCTCCAAAAAAGCTTCCTATATTCAGCACCCGTAAATTTTTTCTTGAAATTAGCATAGATGTGCCTAGCACATTGCCTATGCTCAACATCTGGTACTCTTTCTTTAACAGCCTCAATAAGACCCTAAACATGCAAGATAAACAAAACATTAAGATAAATAAAACAGTAACCATTTAAAAAACAGTTAGGATAAATACCTTGTGTTGGTCAGAAAGTAAGGTTAGTCCTACCCCATTTCCCATGTTAATGTCCTTAAGTAGTAAGTTTAGAAACCACTTCCTAGTTTCTTTGTTCTCAACTGCAACTACTGCCCTAGCAATGGGGTAAATATGGTTGTTAGCGTCTCTTCCTACAGCTGAAAGAAGCTCACCTCTGCAAATACCTTTTAAAAAGCAACCATCTACACCTATAACCCTCTTACATCCTTCAACCCAACCATCCTTTACACCTTTGATACAAACATACATCCTAGAAAAATAAACTGTGGAATCAGGCATTGTATCCGTCCCGATTTTCACTGTTGACCCTGGATTAGCTCTTAATATCTCAGCTTCATAACTCCATAATTTTTCATAATGTGTGCTCAAACTGCCTTCTATCTCATTAAGTCCAAACTTCTTTGCATTCCTGCATTGTCCAACACTAACCTTCACATTGAAAATTTCCCCAACTTTATCCCTCATTTCCCTACAACTCATTTTGGGATTTTCTAAAATATCATTAACAAAATGTGTCCCTATCCATGAGTACGTAACAACTGACCCAAACTTGAAGGTTCTAGCACAGTTATGCTCATTAATTAAGGACTTGATTTGGAATGATTTTTCACTGCTCATCCAAGTAGCCCATAGTCTAAAAGGACATGCTGCCTTTCCTTCACTAGTTTTACAACACCTGACTAGCAACCTAGTTTTATCATTTTTTTCGTACCACAGGTTAAAACTGTTTGCTACTGCATAGTTTGAGACAAGCTATTTAAGTTCTTGAGAGTTACAAAACCTCATACCAAGGATGGGTTGCATTGTATCCCATTTCTGAGTTGTGTCATGAAAAGGATAAATTGGGGCTTGTTTGGTTCCATTATCTGAATCATCATCCTCATCAACAAAATCATCTTTAGGGACAACACTAATATAGTTAAGAAAGGGATCATCAGATTTAATCAATGGTATTACCTCTTCATCGGGTTCATGATCAACATATAGAGCATTAGACATGACTGAGTCCTTATCTTCATTAAAGCTTTCACTATCAATACCTTCTTCTTCCTTTTCTTCCTCTATCCAGTCAAGCACCAAATCGTTGTAGTGATCAACATATACATTAATCTTTCCCTCGTTACCATGTGAATCATCAAGAAACCTCCTGTAGTCATCATCATTTCTCAGTGGTCTCAACCCATCACGCATTGACTTGTGCCCAAGACAGTAGTAGACATCAGGACACTTCCCCTTTGTGACATCCTCAAGAACATAAATGAACTCCTTGAAATTTAATCCACCAAAATCGACATATGTAATTGAAGTATTTTGATTCATGTAGTATATACGATGAGGAATGGGGGAAAACATTTCATCGTAATGAACATCTACTTGAATGAAAGTTGATCCTTTTGCATTTGATGGACCAGCCATCATCGATCTCAAAGAAAGCTTCGACTGAGAAAACCCTACACAAAGTTCTTAGTTTGAGGGTGTTTAATTGAGAGACGGGTGAGGGTGTTTAATTGAGAGACGGGTGATTAATACCATGAACAGCTGTAATAGCTACGTATTTTCCACATAATCATTTATTTTATTTTAAATAAAAAAAATAACGGGATAACCTATTGTATCCGGTTGCCAATGATAATATGTGTACAAGAAACGTATTTTAATGATATTTTTTGTTAAAAAAAAAAATGAATGGTATAATTTGAACACAGTAAAAGATCATTACCCTTGCACCTCATTTTCCCTTTTAGAAAATACATTGATATTTTTTTGTGAATACTACGTTTTGGTAAAAAAGCTTTGACAGTGACGCTACTTGTTTTGATTTTTGACAACATAGGAAATAAAAACTATTATTGTCAAGGAAATAAATTTCAAAATACGTATACTTTTTCCAACTAATTGTGTCCACGTTTGTGGGCTGGCTTAACCTGATCTCACACTTATCTTTCTAACCTCATCCACAAACTCTTGAATATTCCGGTCGGATGTTCCACCTTCTGCCACCGCCTCCCCCGCTGCTTTCTTCCACTTCAATGCATTCTTCTTCATCTCCGCCGCCTTTACACCACTTGTAGCCTCTCTTAAGCACTCCTCCACCTCCTCTCTCCCAATCACCCTATTCTCGGCCTCACCCCTACACATCCTAATCCCAACCTTCCATTCATCAACCAAATATTTTGCATCCGTCACTTGATCTCCCCAGTGCGGGAACGCAACCACAGGAACACCGCTTGACAACGCTTCCATGGTTGAGTTCCATCCACAGTGAGTCAAAAAACAAGACACCGCCGAGTGACTCAACACCTGGGCTTGTGGACTCCAGTGGACCACCATTCCCTTTTCTCCGGCCTCCTCCAAGAACCCTTTGGGCAACTCTCCAGGTTCGCCGGTGGAAGTCGCACCCTTCCTCATTACCCACAAAAACGACACGCCGGAGTTCAAAACACCATAAGCCATCTCAGTCACCTGTTCTTGACTCAAGCTCACAACACTTCCGAACGAGATATAAACCACTGATGAAGGTGGCTTCGAGTCGAGCCATTCCAGACAATCGTCGGCTTTTATCAGATCGCCGGAGATATTAGAACTAGTTTCGAGTATTGGGTTATTGAACAATGGACCCACGGATCGGATACGACATATTTGAGACATGTAGTTGACCAGATCACCCTCAAGTTCTTCAAAAGTTTCCATTAATACACAAAACGTCTTTGACAAGTTCTTGAACTGCCCTAAAATGGCTCTTCTCAAGAACGGATATGGCGTTGAAGGATGTAAAAAGCTTGGAATCTCATCTGACTTCAGGAGCGGCATGTTTGGCAACTGAACGTCGATGTCTGGTTGTTCATCACTTGGAAAGGGAACTAATGAATTCTCGTAATGATAATACGATGAAAAGCAAGCACAAGATTGTACCCAAAGCATAGCAGAAGGAATGTTAAGCTCTGCTGCTAAGTCGGTAACCCAAGGCACGAAAGGGTTGTTGATCAGACACGATACCGGCCGGCCGTTTTCTGCATGGTGGTTGATGATGCCGGTGAGTGCAGCTTTTCCGTAAGCCTCAAGCTTAGGCAAGTAGTTATCAAGGTCATAGCGTTCGTCATCATTATCTTCGGAGCATCCATCATCGAAGAACTCAAACCGGATCATGCCGCCAGCGTTGCCTACCGGAGTAGGATCACCGGAAACGACTGTGCCGGCTTTCTTGAGTTTCTTTCCGATGGATTTAGTGGCGGAGAAGGTGACGAGGAGGTTGCCCTTTGAAGCCAGGAGCTTGCCGAGTCTGAGGAGTGGATTGACATGGCCTTGTGCTGGAAAAGTGACGAGAAACACATGCACAAGATCTTGTTTAGAAACCATTGATGGCGATTGTGTTTTTCTGTGAGTAGGAGTGAACGTTTGTTGTTTTTGGGTATGTATGAATTATATATTGAGTGATCTGTTACAATATGTCTTAAAGCCAAGTATACATATATATAGATATATACAGTGGGAGATAGATGGTGTTGCAAAATCGGAGAGGTGGATGCTTGGTAGAGGACAAAAGATGTTCGACTGAAATATCACGCATAAGTTAATTAGAGTCGTATACAACAACCAAAAAAATGCATGTGTAATTGCTGACGTCTATTACAGATATTCATTTGAATTCTATGTGCAGGGTATTAAGTTGTTTGGATTATGTCGTTGTTAAATTAAGCCTAAAATTTGGTAGATTGACACAAGAAAGATGTTTAGCATGACAGTAAATAAAATATACGGAGTATTAACAAAAAGTATATATGTTACGTATTTGTTCGAGAACTGAAACTCTTCAACTCCTTATGCATTACAGCATAAGTAAAAGAAAATTTTCATCAAATAACCAAAATGAAAGGAGAGTTTAAAGCAAATAACCATACAAAAAATACAACTTTATAAAATGACTATGACTTCCGCAGATAGGGCTTTGCGGAAGTCCCTATACTCCGAAGAACAAAATAACTCTCTGAGAAAATGACGTGACGGGGAAAAAGACAAAAAAATTATAAAATTTAATTCTACAGAGCGTGCATCGTTCCATGTAGATGCCATCTACGAATCTGTTTTTCAGAAGAGTATCTCTAAGAAATTGTTTTTCGTTAAAACATGGCCTAATAACGATTTTCATACTTGTTTTCTTCTATATCTAACGAGGTATCAAAATTTAACACATATATTCGATTATACCAAAAAACTCACATTTTTACCAAAAACCAACCACTTTTTTCGTTTAAATTTTCTAAGCCACGTTTTTTATCAAAAAAAAAAAAAAAACGAATATACTGTTGTTTACGATTTTTCATCATATTTTCATAACAATCTATGTTGATAAATAAAAAGATTTTTTATTTTCGAAAAAAAAATCACTTCACTTTGTTGTTTTTTTTTTCATTATTTAAGTTTATTTTTATCAAAAAAAAAAAAAAAAAAAAAAAAAAAAAAAAAAAAAAAAAAAAAAAAAAACTAACTATACCAAAAATCTGAATTTTATGTCCTCTATTAATGAACATCAACATCGATTAAAAAACACTGATCAGTTTAGATTCATACTATGAATTTGAACTGTAATATTTCAATTTTAGATTTCATAATGTAAATCTGACTTACTATTTAAATTCTTTAATCATTCACAAATTAATTTAATAAAATTTACATATGAATGAAATATATTTTCATGTAATTTTATATTAATTTAACGTTTTCATTACTAATAAACTAGATTTGTAAAATCTTTATAAAAAACTCACTTCGTTTTTTTTTTAATATTTAAGTTTTTTTTATCCAAAAAAACAAAAAAAACTAACTATACCAAAAATCTCAATTATTTTGTCCTCTATTAATTGACATCAACATCGATTAAAAAAACATCGATCAATTTAGATTCACACTGTAACACCGTAAATTTCAAAACAAAATTTTCAATTTTCTTATAGAACATAATTCGATTAATATTCATCAAACAACCATATTAATTATCCAATATAGGTTAATGCAAAATCCCAAGATCACAATGTAAAAACTCCGAGTGTGTGTGTACGGATCAAGCCGGCGCCTTCCCGCGGTCGTCACTAGTACCTGAAACAATAACATCAAACACTGTAAGCACAAGGCTTAGTGAGTTCCCCAAAATACCACATATAACACATATTAGCCACTCGAGGCTATAACTCTGTGGGTCCGTGCACCCAAACTCTGTGAACCCTCAGGTTCTAGCTCTGATAAACATGCACTACATAAATCACATAGAAATAATGCAATACAACACATAATATACATAGCATACAATATTCTATCACATAACTCAGGTTACCTACTCAAGGTAATATAGTATTGTGAGAAGACTCACCTCGCGTATCTCGGTATATCACGAATCCCGGAAATCCCTCGTGCTCGATCCTCCGAGCTGTAATCCTCCTATAACATAATATGTTTCTAATTAACATTTTATATCTCTAAGGTTGACTATCTATAAGAAGTCAACATAGGTCAACTCTGGTCAACGGTCAAGGGTCAACTCTGACCGGACTCGGCGAGTACCATGGTGACTCGGCGAGTCTAGATGTTTTCACCAACCCTCTGAAATCCTCTTACTACACGTCGAGTATCCCCCCTTTACTCGACGAGTTTCACCTGAATGAATCGCGGGGCCACCCCGACTCAACTCGCCGAGTCTCAAGGACAACTCGGCGAGTCCAAGTTGACTCAGTCCACTCGTCATCCCTTTCCAACTCACCCTGACTCACTGAGTCTTCCCATGACTCGATTGGACCACCCGCTGAACAGTCCCAAGGCAATCTTCAAGCTACTCGCCGAGTCGGATGAACAGACTCGGCGAGTCCATGCCATGCAACCACTCCAACTCGCTTCTAAGGTCAGATCTGCTTCCAAAAACTATAGATCTGGCCTCCCTCGACTGATTCATCACGTAAAGCTCCTATCTTGGTGCTCATAACACACCCTATAGCTCAATAATGGCGTTTTTGACCTAAGGCATGAGGATTCCAATCCAAAGCCTCCATTGATTCCCAAAAAGCTTGGGTAAAGGGACACTCTGGACCTCTAAGGGTCCAGATCTATGGTTCCAACCTCATAAGGGACCAAAAGGACACTAAATCTTGCCATAAAAGGGTTCAACAAACCCTAAATCTAGATAAAAAAACAACAACAAGAAGGTAACTCGGATTTATTACCACAAAAGTGATGCTCTGGACTCCAAACCCACAGAAGTAGCTCCTTCTTGCTTCCCTTGACTAGCTCTTCTCCTTCCTTGCAACAATGGCACCTCCAAGGTCAATAATGGCCTCCTACTTAGCTCCAAATGCTCACACTCGATTAGGGTTTCACTCAAAGGGTTGGTGAGCACAAATAACGGACATTAGGCCCTTTAAATAAGTCTC